ATCAGAGTTAAGTGATCAGAGTTGGGTGATCAGAGTTAAGTGATCAGAGTTGGGTGACCAGAGTTAAGTGATCAGAGTTAGGTGATCAGAGTTAAGTTATCAGAGTTAGGTGTTCAGAGTTGAAAACTTCAAAACTATTATAATAACAAAATTTCAAAACTATAATAATAACAAAATTACAATAATAATAAAATTTCACATGATAAAATCAAATCTATTTTTAAAAGAATGTGCAGTCAATACATTTGTATCTATGTCTAGTGTTTGAAAATTTACACTTTAACATATGGACCGTTCTTCAAACTGTACAATTTAATTATATATTTTTTAATAATATTTTAAGACGTACTAGAGTAACTTTTCTAGCACTGCAAACCACTGTCAAGTTATCTCCATTTTTATTAAATCCAATGGCTACATACTATAAAACTATTAATTACACAGTGTTATATTTTAATAAATCTGAATGATAATTGAGTTTCAAAGAAATTTTCTGATAATACGAACCATTCTCAATGTCTAATGTGATAAACCTGATTGGGCTAAGTAGAACCTACGTCATAAGTAGCGGCAGGATAATTAAGCAATCTGTGTAATGGTAAAATAACTTACATGAAACGTGCCAGTAATTCTTATCACGTGATTCTGATAGGTTTAAAATACTCTGTGATTCGTCGAAAGCAACATGTTTTTTTTGTGAGTTTTTTTTCACAAACATATAAAAACGTGAAAATCTGAAGTAAAACAGGGAGACTGACGTTAAAATCTCGCACGTTTAACAGCAAAAATGACGCTATTGAATGAAATTTGTGTTAAAAAGTTAAACCGGTGTTAAACGTCTCGCTTAACATTTAAACTATGTTGTAGAATGTGTAGACAGGCTTTATGTGACGGACGTACAAACTCGTTAACTTATTGTAACTATGGTTACTCGTATCACGTGAAGTGCTTCAAAAATACTGGTAAACACTGGTTTGAAGTCAATATATTCGTCAAGATAACATGTAACAAGGTAATACTTAATGTGTTAAAAACGAAAATAGAGTGACATAAACATCACATGTAACGAGGTAATACTTAATGTGTTAAATAACGAAAATACAGTGACATAAACAACACATGTAACAAAGTAATACATAATGTGTTAAAAAACGAAAATAGAGTGACATAAACATCACATGTAACAAAGTAATACTTAATGTGTTAAAAAACGAAAATAGAGTGATATAAACATTGCATGTAACAAAGTAATACTTAATGTGTTAAAAAACGAAAATAGAGTGATATAAACATTGCATGTAACAAAGTAATACTTAATGTGTTAAAAAACGAAAATAGAGTGAT